CAGGAAGGATCCCCGAGGGCGCAGATGCAGCCGGGAGAGATGGTCGGCAATTTGAGGAACAGATTTTGCTCCCGCTTGTTTGCACAATGCAGGATCAAAAGGCTTACGTTCTAGGTCTCCTTGATAGAGAGGACAAGCTGATCCTTCCAACGGCGGGTCTGACGGACGTTCCGATGCAGTCAACCGTTAGAGAACAAGTAAAGTATATGTTTGCGGATCGTTTCGAATTTAGACTGTTCCCAGAGTTTTATAAGCCTAAACTTAGAGTAGAACTGGACGGGGGTAAAGTGGTCAGATACACAGTCGTCTTCATTGATGCCAGGATCTCTTTGGAGGCTTGGTCGGGTCTGAGACAGGTAGGTTTGGACTCTTTCCCGCTAGAAGCCCTGGCTGAACCCTTGATGGACATGTTGGCAGAGGTCGTTGTGGAACCGGGGGTACCAGCCTCTTTTCTGGCTGATTTGAACCCAAATATGCCAAGATCAAGCAACCTCATGTCGAGGGTCTTTTGTGACTGCCTTACCACTGAATGGACAACCCCCACGCAGACCCAAGGCTTAGGGGATGCACGAGGTACCAACCCCCCAGCAGCAGGAATCCAATCTGCAGTTCCAGGAAGCTCTTTGAATGGGTAAAATTCGTATAGTGACTTGGAACGTTCAAGGGCTGGGGGATTCCAATTATGGGAGAAGGAAGGGAACACTTCTCAAAAGTTGGGCGCACCGGAAGAGGGTAGATATCCTGCTATTACAAGAGACTAAGCTATCGGAGACAAAGCTGACACAGCTAAGGGACTTGTGGGACGAACCTCAGTTGTGGTCTCCATGCCAGAGAATCGAAAGGGGGAGTAGCAATCCTCATCCACAACCGGATCGAGGCTAGACTACTCGACAGTGACAGCGATGCATGAGGTCGGTGGTGCTGGGTAAAACTGGCCATTGGCAACGAAGATTGGCTCCTTGCGACAGTTTATGCTCCGAATAAATCAGGGGAACGCAGTAGTTTTTTTGAGTTGTTACCGTACGTTCTCCCAAGAGTTGATCGTATGGTGGTAGCTGGAGACTGGAATACAGTGTGCGCACCAAGGCTTGACTCGGAGAAGGAAGAAGGGATGACTCCAGATCGGTGGAAACTTTTAAAGTGGATGAAGAAATGGGAGTTATAGGATATCTTCAGGGATCTTTACCCTACAACACAGTCGTTCACCTGGGTGGGCCGCTCGCCTCAAACAGCAGGGGTTACTCGACGGGTTGACTTCTTTTTAGTCTCGACAGTGGCAAGAAGTGATGTTCTCCAAATCGAAACAGACAACTATCCCCTGTGATCATAAGGCAGTGGTGATGACCTGCACCTTGGCGGCGGTGGCAGCAAGAGGCCCGGGTTATGTCCGACTGAATACAGAGCTGCTAAATCACGAGAGGATCACTTCCTGGATCTCGAATTTCTGGCTTCACAGGAAGGGGCTCAAACAACATTGTGAGTCCACTGCAGAGTGGCTGGACGCCGGCTTGAGAGTGATATCTCTCAAACTCGATTCCTTTTCTCAGATCGCGGCTTACCATCGCAACAAGGAGGAACAAAACAGATTGGAGGAAGCGGAAAAAATGTTGGGACAGCACCCTGTATCGGACCTGTTCTGGGCAGAGGAGCGCAAGGAAAGAATGCTGGATTGGGACAGATGGCAATTGGAAAAACAAGAGAGGTTGACTAAGATTCTAGAAATCAAGGGCGTCATCACGTCAGACTGGGTAATGAAGGAAACTTTCAAACGTCTCCTACACAAGTCCAAGGCGGTGCAGATGAGAGAACTAGTCCATCCACATCAACTAGGGAAACCAGTGGCAACTTCGAATGAAGATATGTGCTGCTACGGAGTGGACTACTACCGGGATATCATGACAACACGCAGACCGTATGACGACCTAGATGATAACATGGCGGAGGGTTCAGCACTCTGGAACAATGTGACTACACGCCTATCAGACAATGGAAATGTCTGGTTGGACAGACCGGTAACAGAGGAAGAACTAACTGCCACACTCCAGGTCATGGCCCGGGGGAAAGCGCCGGGTGATGACGGGCTGCCGGTAGAATTCTACGGAGCATGCTGGGAGGACCTGAAGACAGACCTGGTGGAAGTTTACTATGTTGTCCATGAAGGAGGAAGATTGGGGCGGACTATGACAAGAGGAATCATTTCGCTACTCTATAAGAAGGGTGAACGCAGTGAAGTGCGAAACTGGCGCCCAATATCTCTTCTTAATGTAGTCTACAAACTGCTGGCCAAGACTTTGGCCAACAGGCTTGCTGACTACCTCCCCGGTCTAGTCCATCGAGATAAGGGAGCATTCGTGCGTGGTCGCTCAATTTTTGAGAAGATGGTGACAACTATTGAGGCGCTCGAACTGATTGAGAGGGAGGAACAAGACACGGCAGTGCTGCTATTGGACCTAGAAAAAGCCTATGACAGAGTTAATTGGACGTTCGTCCTAACTACCCTACGTTTCATGGGCTTTGGTGAGTGTTTCTGCCAGTGGGTAAAGGTGTTATATGGGTTGTCTACTGCAGCAGTCTGTGTAAATGGGAAAATCTCGGAAAAGTTTGACCTCTCACGCTCACTTCGGCAGGGATGCCCTTTGGCACCCCTGCTTTTTGTACTCCACCTCGAACCCCTTCTCTGCAACATCCGTGCTCATCCAGATATCATCGGCCTATGCGGACTTGGAGGGAAAGAAAGTCGAGTGAAAGCCTCGGCGGATGATCTGTTTGCGATTTCTGCAAATAGTGATTGTTCATTAGGGGCATTGACGAAATGTCTGGTGGACTTGGCAGAATTGTTGGAGGCAGCAGTTAATTGGAATACGTCTTTCTTTTTCCTACCTAAACAGTTCTCATTGTCTGTCCAATGGGGTATGGAGCGAGTGGAAGCAGACAAAGCGGAGCGGTTTGTGGGCATACAGGTAGCGCTCGGTGACTGTTCGGCCTCTCAGGATATTATTTTACAAGAGAAGATCTCTAAAAGGGTGAAAAGTTGGGGAAAGGCTCATCATCTCTCTCTCATTGGGAGAGCGCTTGCTATTATGGTCTCGACTTTTGCCCTTCTTTGGTACGTAGCAGCGGTCCGAAGGCTAAGTCCACCACTCATCAAGACAGTAAGGAAGGTAGCAAGAAGGTTTATTTGGAAGCCAGAGGGAGACCCGGAGAGAGGGTTTATCTCCAAGGTGGCTTGGGATACCGTATGTACCTCAAGAGAAGAGGGAGGATTAGCTCTGACAGACCCAGACGCTCAAAACACAGCCTTGCTGGCTAAGTGGATTATCCGGGTGGCCACAGCAGAAGAACAAGCAGACTGGATTATGCTGGCAGAAGCCCTGCTGGCTAACGAGTGGACACTGGCTAGGCCTTCGGATGTTTGGGTAGTGGTTATGTCAGACACTTACTCCTACAAACGTCCAAGATCAAGGTTTTGGAGGGAGGTTCTGCTAGCCTGGAGGAAAAGCAAGCCAACAGGATGCAGCAGTCCCACTACCAAGGAGGAAGTTTGCAGACAGTGTTTGTTTGAGAACAACCACGTCAGAGGGGTGGATGGAAAGTGGCTCCCGCTGGCCAGAGAGCCGGGTGCCTTCGGCCAGAGCTGGCTACAGAAAAGGATCTCGACAGTGGGGGAACTTTGGGATGATGCCACAAATAGCTGGAAGTCAAGTATGCAACTGAAGTGCGTACTGGGACAATTGCCCAGGCAGGAGGAGCGTCTGCATACGGTGTTGGAAGTGATCCCTGATCAGTGGAAGAGGCTTTTAGGCCCAGAGTGCGTAGACCCCCCCGGTACTTGGTACAGATGGGACAACGGGGAGGCGGTATGGTTTTGCAGGTTGGAAAGCTGGACAGAGGATGGTCTGGGCAAATGCTGGCTGGAAACCTATAAGAGGATCCTCCCAAACCAACCAGCGCTGGAAAGGCACGGAATACAGCTGAAGTACGGGATTGCAGACCTGGAAGAAATCAGGGTGAAGCTTAAACCTCCACAACAGGAAGGGTTACCCCACATCCCCTACCTGGTAGGGAACAGATTAACACTCCGTGAACTCAGAATCGACCCAGCAGTTTGGTTATGGCAAATGGAAGAAGAGTGCATCAAGGGGTTGGAGTCGTTATCCATTGCGGTGATTATGAAGAGGAAAAAGCCCCCTGGTTCACTTTGTAAAAAGACCGCCCTTCGCTGGGAAAAAGAGGTTCCCGACCTTGCCCCTCCGTCAGAGATGGAACTGTCCAGATTGTGGGCCCAGCTAAAAGACATCCCATCTCAGAAGCTGGCTTCTCTCCTGTGGTTACAATCGCACCTCTCAGTCCTCACTGCGCAGTGTTTAAGAGAGAAAGGGATGGAGATTGATACCCGGTGTGATAGATGTCAGGCCGCTCAGGAATCAATGAGTCATCTGTGGTGGGAATGTCCCAAGTCAAGAAGATGGTGGGACTGGTGGGAGAAATACTGGAGGTGGATTACAGGTGATGAGATCTTCACGGGGCAGAGATGGGTCCTTTTGGGTGGGCTGCCTCAGAACCAAAGCAGTAGAGAAGGTTGGGGCTATGTGGCTCAAATGGCCAGAGCGGCGATGCTGTGGGTCGTCTGGCTCGAGAGGAACAGCCTCAGATTCAAGGGTGAAGCCATCCCAGAGAAACAAGCAGAGGCAACATTCAGAGGTCTCCTGGTCACAACCATCAGGGCGGACTGGTCCAGGAAAGCAGGTGGAGGCAGACGAAGAAACGGACTGGGGTGGTTTCGGAATACCTGGGCTCGGAGCGACAGAATAGTATCTATCTCCACGGAGGGGAGGCTGGTCTTCAGTGGTTGGTTAGAACATGGGTAAGAGATTAGGCAGGATAAGGAACCAGGGCACTCGGTTCCAGTCGACGGTTGCGGTAAACCGTAATGGGGGGAGGCGCAGGGAGAGTGCCCAGAGGTAGGAGGGAACCAGGGTTCCCCTCGCCCGAAACTGGGCCGAGCTCAGACCGTTGATAGGTCTGTGAACAGTAGGTTAGTTAGGATAGGGAGTAAGAAGTGTAGGCCCAAGGAGGTTTTATAAGACTACAATTGTGATTGCAGTTACTGATTAAGAAAGTACAGTCAAATCGGTTTACGAGAGGTTAAATGGTTTGGTTTGCTTTGATGATAGGGAAGGGTAAAAGTTTCCCAGTCAACAGACTGTAAGCTAAACTGTGAGGTCCCCGGCCTCGACCTGTTCTTTTGGAATATATGATTCATAAAAAAATAAAAAATAAAAAAATAAAAGATCTTCTTTCTCTGTATCGTTCCAATTTTAACGGATGTCCCGAAGGACACTTCGCTTCACAACTCTCCAAATATGAAAAGGACAAAATAAGGGTGCGTATCTGTCCACCTGGTAGCTGCCACATAGTATACTTGAGTATAACCAGCTTCCTCAGCCAACTAGTGGCTGCCCAACTTGAAGTCCTCAATGCCGCTACTTCTGGGTAACCTCAGTTCATTTCACCTGTCCCCAACTTCTGCCGCGTTAAAAAAAAAAAAAAAAAAAACACAGCAACAACAACAACAACAACTTCCCCCGCCTCTCCAAAGAGCCTGTTGCCTGATGCTCTGTGCATTCTCCAACCTGAGTAAACTGCTCCATTCCATTGTAGATCCACCATCCAGAGACGATGGGGCGGAAAGAGATCGGGGAACTCCGAGGGAGATCGCAATGGAATTGCTGGATCCACCCGAACTTGTCCTGGCTGATTGTGTGGTCCACATGTAGTCCGGTCCTTGAAGCAGATTGTGTGGTCCCACCTGAACTTGTCATGGCAGTGCTCCGGGAAGTGTCCTCCTTCCCATCGAATACAGGCTATCCAGCCCCCCTGCTCATTCCCCAGCCAATCCCCTAGGAACTGTTTGCTGGACCCGGTTTCCAGCAGGTGCCGCTCGCCACCAATAGATGGAGCAGCCCGACAGATAAGCCCCCAATTCTGACTGTTCTCTT